TTGAGAAAAGTGTTGCAGAAGTATTTCCAGTAGAAATCCCATCTTCCGGCATTCCATCTTGGGTCTGCTATTTAAATGCAGTAACTAATATGACAGTACACATTTTAGATTATCTTCTATGTGCCTGCATGTCAAGTCGCTTCAGGCATGTCCAACTTCTGCGACCCTACGGACTGTAGCCTGCCAGGCTCCTCTGCCCATGGGATTCTCCAGGCAAGAATACTGGAGTGGGATGCCATGCCCTCCTCCAGGGAATCGTCTTGACCCAGGGTTCGAACCTGCATCTTTTCTGACTCCTGCATCGCAGGTGGATTCTTTACCGCTGAGCCACCAGGGGAAGTACCAGATTATCTCTTAGGAAACATCAGTTCTTTGTATCTGTTTATGGGAACCACGAAGAACGTGTCCTAGGGTTGAAAGTCATTACCACAGAGATATGGGAGGGAAAAAGGAATCACTGAGGTGGTGCTAGGTGCTGGGAGGACCCCAGAAGGCACTGACCCCTAAATTCCAAATTAGGAAAATGGGCCGCAGGATGTGGGGATTCTGAAGTCATACGTAACTCACATGCAGCTAGGGCATCCCAAAGATACTTGGAGGACTCCTTTTCATGGGATGATGACAATGAAAGCCTTTGTCTTAAAGAGGAAAGGGGAGGTAACAGCGCAGGAAGTGGGCAGAGCGGTTCGCAGCTCAGACAGCTCTGTGCCCTACCACAATGCTCTGAATTTTTCAAGATAAAAAAGACCAGCTCATATAATAACTTCCTCCATCTTCCTCCCTTTACTCTTCAAAAAGGAGTTTCTGGAACCCTAGTTTTCCATTTTCTATTTGTAACACCACACACATCAGTCAGCAACGGTGATCATTAGCACCAAGAAAAAGGAACCCAGAGTCAGTCAAGTTCAACTTCCTTCGAAGTATGGGTTGTTTCAGGGTCAAGGTTAAGTGCCTGGCTCCGAGTAAGCCAAGGGAAGTCTTCTCATGCAAAACTGGTGGTGAGGGCAGTTTCTTTTACTGTTTAAAGGAAAATGGTTTTCTGACTCCATCCATCACCTGAGAAACGTTAAGGATGGCGTGGTAGCAGAATATTATAGCTCCTATATTACAGATGGTAACCAAGATATCTACAGCTCTATCAAAATGTAGATCCAATAATAACATTTAAGACGTACAAGAAGTCATAAAGGGTAGAAATAAGACTGTGTGTGCTATGACCCAGCTTACGAAATAGACCATTTCTTAAGGTACCGCACCTTTCCCAGTTATGTGTCTAATCTTCCTACCATCACTCCTCTGACTTAACCATTATTGTAAATTTGGTGCTAATTCCCAAGTTTTCTGTTTTACTTTAAGCACACAGGTACATATCTTTGTGCATCCTGTAGAATTGTTTCCATAGTTTAAAAAGCTTGCCAATTACATTTGAATGAATAATTGTGAGGGGAGGGCACATTATGGCAGCACTAGTCATTGTACATCTCAATTCACATTTTAAAATGAAACTTGTTTTCCAGTTTTCCACTGAAACAGAAAGGCACTTAGGGGGACACCTGTCAATAGTCAATAGAAGAATAAAACTCACAGAATATGTCAACATTAAAAGACAGCATGGACTCATTTGAAAACTGATTCTCTCATCCACAGAAAGTATCTTGAGACTGAAATGAAAAAATTTTTTTGTGGCTCATAATATTTCTGGGCAGCAGATGCTTTCTCAGAAACAGATTTTACTTTTAAAAATATCAAATATAATTAACACCTTCAACATACAACGAAATCTTTGCTTCCAGATGCATTTCAAGGTGTTGAAGTGAATTTGTGCAGCCCTCTATGGCTGAGTTTTCGCTGACTTACTGATTGTTCTGCCATCTTTATGTGGCAAGTTTGAAGAACTGAGAGCTGGAGCAGGACATTTAAACTTAACCATATCTGAAGGATGCTTGTTAAACCAGGTGCATTTGGGGAAAGGTCTTTTGACCTATTCCTGGTTAACCTGGTATAAATAAGTATATTGAGAACTAGGTGCTCTTCTGTTTATTACAGAAACATCTTGCCAGAAACACAGGTTAGGTAAATTTGGGACAAGAATCCTGAACACTGTGTCAGGGTTGATAATGGGCAGACTTTTAAACACATTTAAGATTAAAATTGGTTTAATGATTAATCTAAAAGAGAACAAAATGAAAAGAACTGAATGTTTTTTTAAAAAAAAATTTTCAACATCCATACTCAAAATAAGAAATAATGGGAGTGTCTGCTGTCTTTAGTGAAAGTGAAGAAAGCAGGGCCTTCCCAGGTGGCGTTAGTGGTAAAGAACTCCCCTGCCAGTGCAGGAGACTTGAGAGAGGAGGGTTCAATTCCTGCTTGGGTCTGGAAGATATGCTGGAAGAGGACAAGGCAACCCACTCCAGTATTCTTGTCCAGAGAATCTCATGGACAGAGGAGCCTGGAGGGCCACAGTCCATAGGGTTGCAGAGAGTTAGTCATGATTGAAGTGACTTAGCACAGCACAAGGAAAGCAGGAAGTAGAGTCAGCTTGTACTGTCGATTTTTCTCAACAAAATATCCATGCCACCATACCATGGCTGTTGAGAAGCACACAGGCACAATCACACACATACACAGTCATCTTTTCAAATGTTACAAATTATACATTTACAAGAGTTTTTATTGCTTATTTGCACTAATACCAAATCCAACAGTATAGTTTTAAGAAGTGACCACTTTATTGCAAATTTTTATTCCAGAAGTAATGCTGGCACAGCTAAAGCCAAAATTTGATTTCAGCTTATGGGTGTAGAAAAGCATCTTTGTACACAGGTAACTTGCAATATTGTGTTTGCCCAAATCAGGCAAATATTTAAGTGTTTCAGATGCACTATCTGAATGGTAATTAATGTTGTTTTCCCATGAATTAGTGAGAAAAGTATATATGGATAGTTATGCATATAATACATGATTCACTATGAAATGTGAGCTCATCATTTTCAGGATAGTAGGACATAATGAAGTATGCACTATCTCTTGGCTGTGAGAGTATAAATTTGTTTTGAGAGATGTCATCTATAACACGGCACCTTTCTAACTGAAGCATCCCTTTAGATGCTAAACCCTGCTCAGGAGAAGAGTCTAAAAAGCGTTTAGGCCTTTTTATATTAGCTTTTGCACTCAAAAGGAACATAACCAACAGATTCCAAGTTTCACAGTCTCAGACCAGAAGGGACTTCTCAAATAATTCCCGAGCCCTTTGTTTTATGGGCTAATTTGTCCAGTGCCTTCTCAGAACGGGAGGAGGACTCAAATCCAGTGCTGTGATGTCCATCATACATAGCGCTCTCACACTGGTCAGGGAGGACTCTGTGCAGAGATAGAACCTCTTGTTTCTGCTTCTTAACTTTCCCTGCTTTTAAATTCCTTGGCCTCCTGGGCCTTGAACTGCTGCTTTTTCTGATCTGCAAGACCGCCTCTAGCTCAAGGGCTCTACCTTGATCTACTTCCTGCTTACACTTTTGCTACCTGTCAGATGGGTCCTACCAGACTTTTGAACCAGTGCCCCCTCTGTCTCAGATGCCTGCTAGACAACTCAGTCCTTCTAAAAGCCAAAGAGCCAGGCTTGGCCCTTGTCTACCCCCTTCTCCCTGGCTGTTCCTCACTTTGCAGCTTATAGAAGTTATTCATTTCAAAAGCTAGGAGAGTTACAATTTACCTGTCAGTAAACAGAAGATGGTTTATCAACAGACTTTACCTTAATCACTACAAATGTTTACCTCCTGCTTTCCAGAATGCAAAGAAAATCTTGGAAATGTCATAATATCTCACAAACATTTGCAAAACAGATCCTTGTTCATCGGGAAAAGAAACAATTGTATTCGTTGTCTCTGACACAAGGAAAGTATTCCGAGAGAAACATACAGATAGATGTACACACTTACATGGAAATGAGATATGTTAATTAAAAATTGCAGTGGGCACTTTATTAAAAATTTATTTTACAATCTAGCCATTCAAAATATCTTGACATTAACAAATACACCAGCTTGACTACTGGAATCATAAGTGATTTATCTCGAGAAGATTATATTTGTAGCTGGATGCAAATATTTTTGACAAACATTTATATCAAAATTACTTGTTTTGTAAGAAGTATTTTTATTTCTCTATTTTTATCCCTGGAAAAAAATTAAAACAAGTATCTCTGTGTTCATTTTATGGGCGAGATTGGCCCCACTTAGTGTATTTCCCATGTTTGTCTGAATTACAGCTGTTTATCTTGCAACTTTCTTTAAGATAAATTAAATGCAAATGTAACTCTGTGAATCATGGGAATACCTGCCAGACTCCTTATTAATACCTTCGCTTAAAACCCCGGTGCCAGGGAGTCATTAATTTGCTAAAAGAAAAGTGCTAAAGCAGCTCTTTGCCCACAAACAATTCCGAGATGGCTGCCCAATTAGTCAGTAGCATTCTGATCCTCCTTTCAGGCCCTGTGGCCCTCTGAGGACACAAGAAGGCTCCAATGATAACCTGGCAACCTAGGTAGAAACCCAGCCAAGTGAGAGCGTTTGAAGCTGCAGTTTGGCTGCCATCGTGTCGGCGAAAAGAAAGAATTCAGGCACCATGTCATCCAGTACAAAGGATAAAAACGGATTCAACCGGAAATTCAATGTGGCACCACATATGGGATACATGAGTGCGGTTATACAACAGGCCACATATTTTTTTTGAACAGTCTCCTCCATGTGATGCCGAGGACATGTGTAAGCATCATAACGTCTCTAGGAATCTGTATTTAATTTGAGTTGGGGTGGTGGCAGGGATTGGAGATCTGAAGCCGCCACAGGTTTGTGGCAGATGGCTCTGTGTCAGCTATGACAAGCAGCCAGGCTCAGCTTCCTCTGCAGATTTTCTTTTCTCTCTGATCAGGTAAATATGGGCACACTCTGGAAAGTTCTACAGATTCTGCCTTAGGCTGCAAGTTTGTGACTTAGCCCCATCTGTCACAAATCTTCCCTAGGTTCTGCTGTAAGCAGAGACCTGAATTTACCATGTAGGGCTGCCCAAGAAAAAGGAGCCATTTCACCCTGTAAGGGGGAGGGAGAGAAGAGAAAGCAATGAAGAAGCATTAACGACCCGAAAGACTAAAGCATGCTGAAAATTCATATTGCAAATTTGCATAACTTACGTCAATTAGATTTCAAAAAGCCACCAAGTAAATGGTTCTCAAGTTTCATCACCTCAGGAAATCCCAGTTTCTGATTGGCTTGAAGTGTAACAATATTTTCAACCATTGTGGAAAGCTGCCCCCCCCCCCAACCCCGCTTTTTTTTTTTTTTTGCAAATGGGTATATTCTACTGCACACAAATTTCCTGGTTTATGTTATGGATGACAGCTATTAAAAGTTTATCATCCAACTTTTAACTTTTCTAAACATAAGATAGACAACACTCTTAATACATGTTTTTTTGTGAATGTGAATTTTACTTTTAAGTGGTGAAGGCACAAGAGAAATGCCATTACTATTACGTGGAATTTATAAAGCACTTCAAGTTTACAAACGGGTTTATATTCATTATTTCATTTTAGCAGGACCTCAGGGGGAAAATGCTATTAAGAATTAAGAAAAAAAGAATTCTTCCAAGTTTATAGATGAATCATATAGAGGCCAAGAAGTTCACCTAGAGCCAGGCTACAAATTAGTAGCAGAGAAAGAGAAGCAGCCAAAACCTCTAACTGATCTTAATCACCCTGAGTATATCTATTGTGCTAAAGATTTTTTGCTTGCATTTTACTTAAACAAATCAAAGGAAAATCAAGCCAAACAAAATCAAGGAAAGAAGTTAAGAAAGAGAGGGAAGAGTAACAGGGAGGGAGGGAGAGAGATTGAGACGGATCATTTGCCTTAGATTGTGCTGGTGCAGTTGAGAGGTTTTTGAAGTTCTAAAAATGTCATGAGCTTTTAAGTTTTCATTTTTTAAGGAAAAAGTAATGACTTTGGAGGCGTGTTAATACCAGTGAGCACCACCTTATTCACATCTAGAGTATAAGCTCAAATTAAAAGGGGACTATAAAGTGACCAGTCTCTTGAAGGAAACTTAAAGTGGCTTGGCTGTGGTTCGGGGAGATATAACCTGATATAATTAAGACAACCGCAAATGGCTTTTCTGGGCTCTGAGTCTGAACTGTAAGCTTAATCACTCTTTGGAATCACTTTTAGGCAGAAATCTGAAAATTATCCTCTCCTCCAAATAACAGCAGGTTATAAAGGTTTCTGGAATGTGAAAGAACTTGAAGAGGGGAACAAAATAAAAATCAGCTGCTATCATCTGAAAAAACTTAAACTACAGTTTACCCTCGTAAAGCAAAGGAAGGATGGCATCTCTCTCTCTTTTTTTTAACACAGAATATCACTCAATTTATAAATAAAAATAAATGAAAAATCGGCTGGGAATGAAAACCTACTGTTAGTCCTGGTAGTATATATTTTATACAACTACCCCATTTGTACTTTTGTGCTATTTTCAATACTGGTAACAAGGGGGTGAACAGAAATTTTCCTCTAAAGCATTTTAAAATCTAATGATCAAAGGCTTTCTAAAAGCATAAAGTACTGATCTCAAATAATTGTTGGGAATTTTCAGTAAGTAAATTCCCATTGTCAAAATGAGACCAAAAAAAATATAACTTCCCGGTATGAGACTTACTTGGGTTGTAAAAGGAAGCACTATGTTACTGTTAGAAGTTAATCCTTGGCTGATTACTTCATGATTATTTCTAGAATCTTGTGTTCAAGAGTCATAAAAGAGCCCCCTATTACAGATGAAGTGAAACCTTCTTTATCTCTGTGGCAAGTGTGTGGCTGCTGGGTGTAACCTACTTAGAAAGGGACGTGTCCTGTAAGTACAAGAAGCCTGCAGTCCAATGGCTGAGCCTGGTGGCAAACTTTTTAAGAAATGGCTTCAGATTTTTTAAAAATTCAGAACAGGGTTTTAAGTTTTAAAAATAATTAAGAAATGTGATTTCTGCATGCACTTCTCTAAATATCTTAAGTAAAATGTCTGTGTGAGAGAGAGAGGGAGCACACTTGCATACGCACAAAGAATTTAAACATTTCAAGTCTGAAACCATTTCAGGTGAGAAGTCATGGGCATGGAGTTTTGCAGCAGAGAGAGTCACTTTAAGAAAAAAAAGGTATCAAATTCTGTTTCTGCTTTGCAGTTACTAGCATTCTGTTTCAAATCCTGCTTCAAGTTGTAGCCCCCAAACTCTCCCTCATATTGAAAGTATAATGTCTCATGTGAGAAAACAGCCAAGTGTTAGTAGCCTTATCCCAGTCATTAAATTCCTAAGTGTGATCCACATGAAAACCGTATCCTAACGCGAACTCTCCATGATACGTGGCTGAGATGATTTTAAAATGTGAACTTTTAACAACAGAAAAAAAGAGTAAGGTGTAAAAATATAAAAGGAGCAAACGAAAGAATTCAGTGACTTTCTATCCTCTTAGATCTTAGAAGCGTATGTTTTTAAAAGCAAAACAGCACTGTCCAGTGGAGTAAATTTAAAAAGAAAACCTCAATACTCTCTGTATAATATACACAAAAGTCTCTTCTATTGCCTAAGAAAAGTACAAAGCTGCCTTGGGGAAAATAATTCTCTGATATTTAGTGAGGGCAAATGTTACCTGAAATGTGAATATTTATAAAACATAAGGTAAAGAAAAATAGTGTAATGTATTAAATCTTGATGATAAAGTTATAGCTGGCATTCCTTTTCTGTTTTAGCTCTAAATCTTATTACAACAACCCAACTAGACCTGTGGTCCTTGTGACTTTTATCAGTTTGTCCTGGCACTGCATTATAAAGCTCTTGATTATTTCTAATTCCTGGGCTAACTTATTCATTTTTGAGATTAATTTTTGGATACAATGTCATCAAGATCTATGAATGAGGATATATATCAATGTGTATAATAGATTTATAAGAAAAAAATCCATGTTAAAAAGTATATAAAACGAATAATATATAGAAATTCTTATAAATACTTATGCATGAAACACTAATTTCTTAAACTGAGTTGGACCATTTTAGGATGCATGGACTAGTAATATATGTAAACCATAGTAACATGAACAAACATTTAAGGTATATACTATTTTTTAAGCTATAGGAAGAACAATTTGGTATATTAATAGTGTACCACTAAGTTGACATTCCTTCAGAGTTTTTCCAGAAGCTCTTGGTAAAAGAAATAATTAGAGCTATGTTATGGCAATAGCCATATTAAAATATTTCAGTTGGAGATGTGTTTTTTATTGTAACTCTAAGCAACCTGTTGCAGTAACTTTTGAAATGATTAAAGATTTGCAGATCCAAAATAACAGGAATGACAATGCCTACCTGGAAGCAAAGTTAAAAATGGATAAATTCTGATGTTGGAAATACAATTAAAAATGCTTCACCATTCTCACCATGAGATAAAAACATTTTTTCTCCCTTTTTTTTTTTTTTTTGGTACCTCTGTGAGATGATGGGTGATAACTAAAACTTGTGGTGGTAATCATTAATCATTTGAAAACATACGTCCATCACTATGCTGCACACCTCACACATATACAGTGCAGTAAGTCAATTATATCTCAATAAAACTGAAAAAAAATGTCCAAAAATTCACCAGAAGGAAAAAAAAAAATAATCAGATGGTAAACTCACTAAAAAATAGCTTTGTGTCATATGTAGAAGATGAACCTATTTGTATTAATACATATTATTCTATTTCTTCAATTTCATAATCTGTATATTTTGACAGTCTGTTATGTGGGAAACTACTAAATTAACATTTTACCCAAACAAGACCATGACTGAACTTTCAAAATGAGGAAATCTGATGTAAACCTTGGAAGACTTTTCTCTTTGAAGCTTCCTACGAATACGATACAATCGTATTGACTGAAGGAGTAATACTGAAGCCTGGAATTGTTCAGTCAGCATTTTAAACTATTATGAGCTACCTTCTGAACCATTGCCAAGTTAATAGACAATGAAAGATAATGAGCTTGAAATTGGGTGTTAAATTGCATTTTTGGTTCTCTCCCTTTTTCTTGAAGTTTAACTGTTTCCTGCAGAAACAAAGTCATGTTTTGATGTATCACTATGTAAATATATATGTATCTGAGGCCATGATAAGGGAAAGGAGAGGAAAAAAGGCATCGGGCTGTATTTCATGTAGAAAGATATATATTAACATAGGAAAATTAAAATATGCTGGATTATAAAACTGCTAGCTTGTAAAGTATACTAAATTTATGTAAAATGAAGATGCTACATTCAAAGAATATAAAAAGGTATATTACTCATGGCCTAGAGCCACCTTCACAAGTCGTAAAGCAGATTTATCCCAGTTCAATTACTTGGACTTTTAGGAGAGTCTCTCTGTTGTTATTCCAACAATGTAAAATTCTTCATTCAAACAAGGAAAAAAAAAATAACGAATGAAGGGACTGAATGATGATGCTATTTAAACTCTTTTCCTTTTGCCTCTGTCATTCAGAGAGGAGACTGACAGTTGAATTCTAAACTAACTGAGGGTTTTTATGTAATTTTACTGAACTAGACAAAGGAAACATTTGATTCTCAAAATCATCTTTAAAGTATTTAAAAAATGAACACCAAATTTCACAAATGTCATTCACCTGAATTTTTGAGGACTGAAGATTTCATTACGATGGGAAGAAAGGCTTATCCTCATTAGTATAATTGTAGAATCTTTCCTTTTACTTCCTTTTAAACTAATGAGTTACATTAATCCAGGTTCATTTTTATAAGCCTCTTGGGGCTAAATGTAAAGGACAGTCATCTTAGAAAACAATAAATTTAAAAAAAAGCATGTACCATGCATTAAGTGCACGTATTTCATAAGACCTAGGTTAATACAACTGGCATCTAGTTTAATTAATCCTTGTTAGTGCAACAACTAATATCCCTCCCTAGCATGTTTCCTTTAAACATTAGTATGTTAATTAAATGTTTTTTTTTTTAAGATTTTTCTTTGTACTTCAATATGGTATTTATACCATGTAAATCTCTTCTCAATAACTACCTTATAGAGATGTTTTCTTGTAATATCTGGTCTCTTGCAGAAATTCTGGAGCCTTTTTGAAAGCTGTTCAGGTGTAGAATACAGATATTCAGCTGCAGGAAAAACAGATACATTTTTAATGAAACAAAAACCTCAAAGCACACACCCGATATTAGTCACTTTACTAATTAAAAATGCATATTGCTCTGTGCTGCCTCGTGTTTTACATTATTTAAGCATGATTTTATAAGGTTACCTCAGCTCACAAGGATGTTTAATGCTAAATAAGACTGTGTAGTTGTGCTGTTTAGACATCTCCTTTGGGTGATTAAAATACATTATTCTAATGTAACACAATGCATATGTGATATATTTAGTTATGAGAATTTTTTCAAAGAACAAGTATGATAGCCGTATGTACTCTGTACAACAGTTGCATATTATTAACTAGTCAATTGTTGAAATAATTTGGTGTGAGTTTCAGTCCTCAATTTTTCTCTGTGTATATCATTAAAAAAAAAAAATCTGTAAGCAATTGCAGCAACGCTGACCTGCTTATAAAAATCCATCATTATGGGATGTGTATGCTAACAATGAAGAATGCTATTTGAAAACTTGCTTTTTTGTTATCTTAAAAGAACAGATGGTAAATATAAGCTTACTCTAATGTATTAAAACACATAAAATTTTCCTTAACACTAACATGTTGACTTGCCAAATAAACAATTGCTCCTGCCTAAGTTTATTTTCAAACTTTCTAATTCAGCATGAATCATGTAGTAAATTTCAACAAAGACAAAAGTACATTAAAGCAGCTACCTGGAAATATTTCGGGATAAACCAAATCTTTGGGACAAAGCGGGTAACACCCACAATACACAGCTTCCAACCTAGAGAAAATTTAGAAAGAGGATAAAAATATATTAAAAAGACATTACCATTATAGCTAGAAAGTGGTTTTGTTTGCTAAGTTAACAGTATGAGCCCAGAGTTAGCTGGGATGAAAAAAACATGGTCGGCAGTGCAATCCTAAAAGCCAAAGTTGCTCTTTTAAAAGATTTTATTGATCATATATGAATTTCATAGAACAGAACCAACAGCATATGTTTTGTTCACTGAATTAATCAAAGCGCAGCTCTGCATTTTTTTTGTTGTTTTTAAAATACTGTTTAACACATTTTATAATCAGCAGATAAACACATGTAACAACATGGTAAAGTATGGACAGCTTTTCTTAATAATGCTGCAAAGCCCCAGAATGTTCATTTTTCAAAATGTTTAAATAAAACAGCAAATACTTAACTTTAACACTCTAGACGTAGAAATCATCGAGGCACTTTTAAAAACATTGGAAAAAAAATTTACAATCTGTTGTGATGGGTCATTTTCATTTTAAGTTAAAGCTTCAAAATTGTTTGTTATTAGGCAGGATGTAAAACTATTTCCCTGTTTTACTGAAAAACTCATTAAGATTACCTTAATGAGTATTTTGCTTTCTTGACTGGAAAGTCAGCTCAGTTTCCATTTTATCCAAAAAAGAATACTCTTATTATTAAACAAGGAAACAAGAAAGTTTCACTCTGTGAGAGGATTTCCCTAAGGACCAACTATAGGAAGTTTTTCTTCATGTCCTAGCAGTAAGGGTTAAGTAGAAGAAAGGTATTGCTCTTCAGTGATTGTGTTAGTCCTGCATAATGGCTATTGATCTGACATATAATAAACCTTAAAGATACCACTGTAATTTCTGTTGGCTAGGAATTATGCAGTGAAATTCAAAACACTCTTTAAAATATGTTTATTTTATGAGAAACTTTGAATTGCATCCAAAATGTTGACCAAAGGCAGAATTTTATTTTGAACTGCAGATTTTTTTCAACCCAAGAATAGTTTGAAGTTATGTCAATGTTTACCTTGTTTATTTACAGTGACAAAGTACATGCAATTTAAGCTGTTTTTAAGTGGGTGATGTTTTCCCTATTTTATAACTGAAATTAGTTTAAATGAAAAGTATTTACTTTGAGCTGCAAAGTTTGGAAAAATACTGTGTTCAAAGTTCTGCTTGAGAACTGTGAGCAGTTTTAAGATAACACAGTGGAAAGGGATAGGTTCTAGTTACTAACGATTAATTTCAAAATCCAAACTAACATCTAATATTTATTTTCTTTACATACGTAGGTTATATGTAGAAATTCTTCTCGTAAGCACAGCTATAAACTGCACTGTGACTGCATTATAAAACATTCACAAAAGTTTTGAGCACATAAACTGGGGATATTCTTTATGAACCAAAAGAAAATATGCACTTTATCTGAAGACACTCAGTTTTAAAATGCTGTGCCAATCGAAAAGCAAATACATATGAACATTCTCTTATAATTACATAAAATCAAAAGAGTGAAGTCACAGGCATTTCAGAAAGTGCACATGTTATCTGCTTTTTAATAATGGATTTGAATTAGAGTGTTCTGTTCCCCGAAAGAAAACTGCAGGCCAAGTTACATTTTGAGTCATCATATGAGCATGTACTCTGCCATTTCCAAAAAACCGCTGCTAATTAAAATACAGTGAGAGAGGAATGACATTATTTGATTTAGGAAGAAAAAATTTTGAAACTTAGGTTCCACCTTTTGTTTGTAAATTACCTTATTCATTGTTTTATTTCATCAAGAATAAATACAACAACTACTTTTGGGTATAATTTTGACTTCTAAAATATTATACCTTATTATACACGTTATTTATATCAGGACTGTGTATTAAAATATATTAAATTTGTCACAATATTTTAAAAGAAATTTATAAAATTCCTTCTCATAAGTTTCCCATATTTTGCTATTTTGAAGAAAATTATCATCTCATGATAATAATACAATTATTCATCATTTCAATTCTTATGCATTAC